AATTTTCCCCCCCCCCCCCCCCCCGACTTACCAGCCCAATGCTGGTCTCCAAGTTGCCCAGCTGTATATCAGAATTGGATTGGTATCGGCTGATATGGTTCCTTAAAAATTGACCATCAGTATCAGCCCAAAAAATCTCTGTCAGTGCACCCCTAGATTTCAGTAAAGCTATCAACTCAGTTGAGGAAGGGGGAGAGGGAGGGAAAGCATCTCTCTCTTTAAGCTGAGGCAAAAGTAGTGTGCAGTGTAGTCGGTAGAGGACTGGTGTCTCAGCAGTGGAGAATAGGGTGAGATGTATGAAACTTCCTCTACTTTCTGTCTTTTTTTAAATTCATCAGTATATGAGCTTTCAAGTTTCTCTAAGAGGATTCCAGGCTGACTTAGCAATTTTGGGGTGCGAGGGAATGTCATCCCAAACACAGTTAAGTTCAGATAGGGTAGTTAGCAGTGTTAGTCTAAAGTCAGGCAGAAGGCAGGGCACAGTGACACTAATGAATTCAGAGAGGCTTAAGCTTTCAGAAGCAACAGCTTGCTTTGTCAGATGGCTCAATAGGGACATTTTAGACAATATAATTAATCTACATGTAGCTATTTGAAGTAGTGATTTTTTTGGAAAGCATTTTTTTATATTTGAAGAGTTAAAACAATATACATTCTCTTACAAGAATGTAGACCTCTGTTTGTTTTATGGGGTGGTGGGGGGGTGTTGTTTTTTACACCATGCTAGCTACTGCATTTTTAAATCCCTACTCATGCCAGCAAAAGCACCAGTCTGTATGTAGTAAACCAGGACTGCCCAACTGATGGCCCATGGGCTGCCTGTGGCCTGCAAGGGGTTCATTTGCAGCCCCTGGACTCCCATCCCCCTGGACCAGAGACCCCAGCTGCTGCTCTCCCCATCTCTACAGCTGCAGTAGCAGCTGGGGTCTCTGGTGTTCTCCCTCCTTCTGTCTTGACTTCTGCTCCTGCCCCAAAAGCAGTGGGGCATGGCAAAGACTAAAATAATGGGGAAACCTGCAGCTAGGAAGCAGAGGGTGGGGGCAACTGCATGTTGAGGTAGGGGTGTCTGGAGCCCAAGCAGATGTGGCCTCTGTGGCATGCAGCCCCTGGCTGCTTAGAGTTTGAACAGTGGCATGTTATGCAAATAGCTTTAGATTGATATTTTATTGGATAACTGCTTACGCAGATCTTAGGAGTTCACACCAGGATTTCCAGGCCCAGTTGGATTTGGCCTAAGAAGATTTCGGGACCAAAAATCTGGAAATTCTGCCATGACTGCGGTGGTAACCTAGATACCCGCCCACCCCCATGCACACTTCTCCATCCTCTAGCTCAGGAGTGTTCAGCCTGTGGGTCAGATCTGGCCCCTAGTGTCATGTCATCTGGCCTGTAGGGCCAGAACTGTGAGCATCACTGCCTTATCTGACTGCAGAGTTGGAAACACTGAAAGATGTGTGCCCGCAGCTCTGGGCTAGACCTATAGGTTAACCCAGAGCTAGGAGCCTTGAGATAAGATGCACTCTGCCCAGTGTGGCCCTCTGAAATAGTTGACCAGGAATCCAGTCAGGATTGAGGAAAAGTATGAATCCATAGCATTTCAAGTGAAGTATTTTGGGTTCAGTAGAATCTACCTAGTGATATTTGTTGCTGTCTTCTGAAAAAGGGAATGTAAAGAGAAAAGGGATATTTTCACAGTTAAGGTAACTTATCATACATGGGGAGTGCTTGACACAATTAGCATGAGCTGTTAAGCTGCTGATGCCTATCTGGGTACCAGACCATTTCCCCAGGGCAACAAAATAATGAAGATTATGAATGAGGGGAACAAAGTGTACAATGTAGCCAGCTAGCATTGCATCTTTAAGTCTTTTCAGTTGCATTAAGTTAATTGGTAACGGCCTTCTCTTGCCTGGAAGTCAGAAACTTATCCACACTATGTAATTTGTAGGTTTGGTCTTCACTACAAAGTTTTCTGGCATAGCTGTGCTGGTAGAGATGTAAAGAGAGGTTTTGGTGTTTTTGTTTTACTTGAGATTTAGTATTACTAAAAGCTGTCTCGATACCGTAAGCTGAATCTTAAGGAATATGTGAAGCTGTGACCTGACCTTTGTTACATGATTATACCTGTGTACAGGTACCGTATGGGTAGGGATCTAACTAAAATCAACTGGTCAATTTTGCATGCAAATTGCAGGGCCAGCAGTCAGTTTCATGGGTGGAACTGGTGTCCCCCCCCCCAACACACACACACAACAGGCCTCCGATTGATCAAAGGGCCCCAGTGGCCCTGCCCTTCGCTGCTGATTGGCTGTGAGGGGCATGGGTGGCAACTGTCTTGCTATTTCAACAGCTCTTCTCCTTTCTCCCCATGGTGGACTGCGCAGCTGTGCTGCTGCGGCCATAAGAACAGCTGGATCCTGTGGCTTGCAGAAACAGCCAGCATTTTATTTTCAGTAAGTTGTTGTTGGGGGGCTTTTTTGTTTTTCCAGGAAACTTACTAAAAGCACAAAGCCCACACTTTCTTGTGGAGCTTGCCTGAAATCATGGTTTTCACACAATCATGATTTTGATATGTCCCTACATATGGGCATGTCCTTGCCCATAAAGAAATGCTATACCAGTATTACTAACACTGTAGTGGGGGTACTTAACTCTGTCTGTATAGTTAAGTGGTATAACTAGTACACCTCTTTCATGTTGTTAGCTGACCAGGTTGTAGTTTTATACACGTTAGCATGCCTTTTAAGGGACACTGAGAGGACTTTTCAGTTGCATTAAACTAGCTTGGATTCAAAAAACACACCCTCTTAACTATCAACACAGGCCTGAGATGATACGCAACATTCCTTACATGTATGATTCTTCCAAGGGTGCCATAGCACCTAACCTGTATGCCAGAAGGAAAGCAATCCTTCCTCCTGCTCAGTACTGGGCACCCCCGGTGTACTGCAGACAAACAGCCTCCATACTGGCTGCCCCTGAGCAGTGTGCTCTGCTGTGCATACGCATGGACGGACATGAGGTTGCACTCTTCTGCCTAGTTATTCTCCTGATGCTCCCATGCTCCTAGGGCTGGCAGGAGGTGCCATGGGTGCATTTGGTTCTGGTCGCCAGCATACAAGTTGCTAGAGGAGCAGCTGTGGTGTCGAGAGCCATACTTGCCTCTTCAGATATGCACCAGGGGCTAAGGTGGGGCCAGGATATGGGCAGAGTAGGACCTTACCTGGTACCATTGGGAAAACATAAATTCCAGTTTAATTTGTTTGCCCTAAGGTTCCAAAAAGTAATAGAGGGTTGGTGTGTAACATTAAAGTTGAGAACCACTGCCATATATCATCCTAGCAGGCTCAGCTTGTTCTTTTCATTCCTTTTTTTTGTTGAGTACATTTTTATCAGATAAGGGAGACTTTCTTTTGCATCCAAAACACAATTGTAATTAGAACTTAGCAAAATAAGTATTCTTAATAGCAACTATATTCTCACCCACTGATACTTGCAGATGTATTTTTTAGAGACTAAGGAAGCCATAAGCTGGGATGTGGAATGAATGGAGTGTTACCCTGCAGCAAAGGCTAGGTCTCCGGGTCCAGATCTGTGGAAGCTGTTTTTGTCTTTGTAGTGTGTTTTCCTATATGACCCTCCCCTTCCATCACAGGGCAGTGCAGAAAGCAGTAATACCTTATGCAGGCTTCATATGTGCATTGTGGTGATTCTGTGGATTTATAGTTGGAGCCCTAGATGACAGGCATGGGCAACAACAGTACAAAAACATTGGCTCTCCTTCTGTGCCCTTTGTTTCCAGTGGCTCTTAAGTCGTGATTTAGACTGAACTCTCATCCCAATTCCTACTCATCTGAATCCTAACCATTGTTGTGTGAAGACTTAACTCTGATATCAGAGGTAAAGAATAGTATGGGATATATGGTTGTTGACAGGCACCTTTAATTCTATGGCAAACTATGAGAAAACAAGATTAATTTGCAGGCAAGTCTACTGTCAAAAACAGCAAGCAACTTTAAAATGATGGGAAAAGGAAGAATGCATGTTAAAATTTGTGCTGCTTCCCCACAGCCAGTGGTAAGCAATGATGCCAAAGCAAATTTATCTAGACGGTAGAAAACTTTTAAGGCACACTGAAATTTACTTCAAATTCCTTTAAAAAGAAAGAAAGAAAAGTTTTTCTATCCTTTGTTTATAGGAAGTCTTCCCATCAGTTAACAAGACAGAAACTGAGTTCATGTAATTGACAGTACTTTGTGTATTAAGTAAAGACAGTGGAAAGCAGAGGAATATATTTCATTACTGTTTTAGTAACCATGCTTGTAATGGTAATAGGGCAAATTGTTCTGATACAAATGTAACTTTTCCACTTATGTAAAAGCTGCTATGAGACTCATCTCAAGAAGGCAGTTGGCTAAAAGCCCATAACCTAGACTTACATTTGTGTTGGTGTAAAGCAAAAGGCAAACATGACAAATTCTATATAAGATCGCAGGAGAAGACAGTGCCTTAATTACAGGTGAAAGTATGACTACAAAAGGGTGTTTCTTTGTTTTTTGTCTTGGCCACAGATAGAATAATATCAAAATAAATCAATTCAAACTGTAGTTTGGTCCATGCTCTGTCTCATTTGTCATCAGAATTCTGGTGAGCATTAACATTAATGCATTTTCCCCCACAAACTAAAGGAGGAGTTATCATTTGTCATCTTAGCTCAGTAATAGCCTCATCAGTGTTCTTTCCACATAATTTGGTCACCTTCAGTATATGAGCATGTGGTGGGATGCATGTGCATGAGACTTGTGTTTTTTATGTAATGTGCAGGGATCCTGGTTTTCTCTATTTTAAAAATCACATCCTCTGATTTAAACCCTCACAATCTGTTTTTTTCCATGATTAAAGTGAAATGCCACTATATCGGTTGGATATTGGATTGGCACCAGTAAAAGGAAAATTAATATGATTGGTCATTGGCTTTTCTTTGGCTGCTGTAGCCATTAATGGCACCAACAAATACTGCATGCATGCACACAACCGCATGCATATGGCCAGGAATGCAGCCCGGCAGCTTCCTGCCTGTCGCAGCTGGTAAAGCAAACAAAACTCTGGCTTGCATCCATAGATGCTTCTCAAGTAAGTCTCAGGATGTCATCCTCCAGCTGTACTTGGCCTTGGTGAGGCTGCAGCTGGAGTACTGCATCCAATTCTGGGCTCCACAGTTCAAGAAGGATGTGGAGAAGCTTGAGAGAGTCCAGAGGAGAGCCACACTCATGATCAGAGCAAGAGAATAGGCCTTATGAAGAGAGGCTAAGAGCCATGGGACTCTTGAGCCTGGAAAAGCAGAGGCTCAGGGGAGACCAGGTGGCTGCCTATAAGTGCACCAGGATCTGGAGGAGCGTCTATTCACCAGAACACCATGAGGGATAACCAGGTCATAAACTCCTCCAAGACTGTTAGGCTGGT